TATTGTTCATTCTAAATGTAGTTTTAATGTAGAATATGTGTTACATAAATGCATGAAATGTAGAACAATAAAAAAGTGCTCGTGGCTCGTCTGCCAGTGGGTGCCCCCCCACGCATAAAAGTGAAACTCTGCCTATGGATAAAAGAATATAATATAAAAGATGTTCTGTTTCGGTTTGGAGCTTAAGGGGTTCAGTGTGGAACTGAACCAGTGCCAACAGATACCTGGACTCTGATGGCTTCAGAGTTGAGACAGAACAATGTCAACTAATATAATAATAGAAAATCCTGATTGCATAACAGCACAGTAGGTGGCGATATGCTCAAAGATTGCAACTCGTCATAAAACCAAGAAGAAGAATTACACCTGGGAAAAATACTGAGGTCCGGACCTCGGTGACATCATAGCTGGCTACGGGCATGTGTGCGTATGCTCATGTTGTGAATATTGTGCATATAAATATGAATATGCGAGGTGAAGAAGTCATTTATTATAAATGTCTCGAGCACCACTGACCGTGCATTGATCAAAGCCACCTTAAGTAGCGATGTAGCTTCCTAGGACTGTGTTGTTCGGTTTAGCGGTCGGAGGTTGAGGAGATTCACTCCACGGCGATGAATGCGGGGGGAGAGACCGCGTGAAGGCACAGACGAAGAGTGAGGGACAACAGGTCGAAGCCACTAATAAGAAGCGCTCAGAGGACGCCAAAGGTCGCGCCGTTCGTAGGCCGCATGGGTCCAATACACACAAGCGAAGACCGAGAATTAGATTTCAGCAGAACAGCAGCTGCACCCCGCTAGCCATGTTTCTTTCGACTAGGGCTGAATACAGCAACTTGTTCTCTTCACAACACACATACACACTCTTAAACTGGCAGCACAACATAAACTAGACCCTTACTCAAAGGTACCATTATCATAACACCATGTGTGACAACTAGCCCCGCTCTCAGTGCTTTTGCTCTTACATGGCTGGTTTTGTTTCTTTGTGATTCTCAGAATCGACTGATTGTTTTTCCTGTAGTCCTCCTCACTTCTTCAGACGCTGTTATGCACACTTCAGATTCCACACATTATAGAAGTAGGGTTTGTAGATCTTGATCAGCATGTAGAAACTGCAAAGTGGTTTCATCGTCTCCAGCTTGTCTTTATTCAGATCTCGATTCAGTCATATAGAGTTTAAATAAATAAATACACAATTTACATACAGCACCTTTTAAGGTAAGCATCCATCAGCAGAATAATTATTTCATTATTTCAACTAACACATTTTTAATTCAGGTTAAAATTTCCGCTCATTTCTTGATCTTCTAAAAAAATGTGCATGTTTCAGATTATACTCCCGTTACAGATACTTTTCTTCTTCTTCTTCTTTTTATTTTTTCATTCTTCATGATGTTTTTCCATTTAATCAGAACTGGTTTGGCTGAGCTGCAGTGTCATATTTCTTTGTCAGTCACAAGGAAGCAAGCTGTACAGGTTTAAACATACTGCCTTCATTGCACCAGATCACTTTCACTTTAATGATTCAGAGAGATGATCGTAACAGTCTGAACATGGAGCTGCTTATGTTCATGTTTGTGACTGTAATTCCACTTATATCGGACGGTATGTACATTGTTTTTATCTCTTTATTCTGAAGGCACGGCATTTCGTTAATTATGTGCCGTTTAAATCTCTGCAAACTTACAGTTTCAGTTAAAGTTGCTTAAAAATCCTTTGCTGTAGAGGCTTCTGCTTAAACGCTTGAAATTAGTTTATACCTACATAAGGATTCCTTTACAAAATATTTAATTAAAATGTAATTATTTGTACCTAATAGTGAAGAACATCATCATCATCATCATCATGTGTCCTCCTTCAATAGTGTGTAAAATCAATGATGTGTTATAATTAGTACATATTAAGAGCACCTTTAGACGAATCTCTTCTGCTTTACTCGTCATGTTCAGCATGATTTTTCTTGATGTCTTGAGCTTTCAGCAGTTTTGTAGGTTGATTTATTTTAGATGATGATGATGATGATGATTAGGAGATTTGTACCTACAGCTTTTATTCAGATTTATTTTTCTCATTTAATATATATGTGCTTCTAATGGTAAGGCAGATTTTGGTGATTTCTGCTTTTTTTTTTTTTTTTACACACAGTGTAGTCTTCCATATATTTAAATAATTTATTTAAGTGAACATGATTTTAACTGAAGGGGAAGCCAGAGTGGGATTTCATTTGAAATTCATTCGAGTTCATTTGCCCAGTACTTCCTTTAGAGATGCTTTTAATTTTTTTATAGTGATGTTTTTCCAACTTAATCAGAACCAGTTTGTCTGGATTGGTTGCTGTTTCACGGTAAAGTAAAACAGGTTTCAACATATCCAGATGCACCAGAATGATCTCTTATAAAACTTCAGTTTGACTTTGATGAATCAAAGAGACATGGACCTGCTTATGTTTATATCATTCTAATAATATCTGATGGTTTGTACTTTATTCTTTCTCTTTAATCTAATGCTGGTGAAAAAAGGGCACACAACTAACTAAATGAAAAGGCACAAATATGTATTTCTTTTTGCAACTAAACTTTTAATGAAGAATATTTCTGTGGATGAGCTGGAGCAGAGAGTAAAGGAAAAGCAGTGTTTAATGCTTCCCATGATGCACCTCTTGAAGCTGAAGGTCCAGAGAGAGCAGAGCTAAAGATGTTTAGATTTGATTCACTTTGGTTTGGTAACATTCGTGTCAGCTACTGTCATGTTGAGGTGTGTCAGTCTCTGTTGTACATTGACATTTTAATCAGGTCATATTTCCTGGTTACCTGATTTGACCCAGCGTTTACAACCTGTTTTTTTCTATAACAATGAAAGTGAAAGAATTTCTGTCAATGATTCATAAACACGGTTTGCTTGTGAAGTGCAAAAGCAACAAACAGAACTGAATTTGACAAATAATCATAGGGATTTGTACATTTGATATAAACCCCTCTGCTGGGGAGGTTAAGAACAAATTAATGTGCATATGCACATGTTGTGAATCTTGTGCGCATAAATATAAATAACCCACACAGTTATTAGTGAATGAGACCCATTTGAGATAATAGATGACAGCAGTGTAGTCAAGACTAGTGGCAGCTCTCCAATAAAGGGCTCCTCCCTGAGCCACACACACAACATATTTGTTATTATTATAAATTATATGCATTGATATTTGTATGATATATGATAGATAATCATCTGTGCTTTTCCTATATATCCCCTCTCCCTGTCCACATGTCTAAAGTTCAGCTCTGGGTCAAGTGTGTGTCTCTGCAGGTCAGGTAATGGACCGGAAAGTCTTCACCATCAGTCGCTAAAACTGCTTGTTCCACATAAAGGCGGGCCGTAAACTTTACCACTATTGGCCTACAGATTAAATGCAAATCCAGCATAGACCATATCTGTGTACCTTTTAGTCCTAATCCTATAAAAACAATTCCCTTCCATCACTGTAAAAATGGCAATATTGTTATTAAACATAATAAAGTTAAAAGTATCTTTGAATCTTGGGTGGGTTACTGATGTCATCACCACTGTGAGTTTGTTTTGGTTTTATAGTGTATCAATAATCAAAATCATCAAATCTAAGAGTAGAAGAAGACAAAAATACATAGATATTTCTTTAATAATATTTTATAATTATTCAGCTTTACTCTGAATGAGACCAGTTAATCACATCAATATATAACCATCAACACCTGATCATAATTTCTCCTGACGTTTCTTGCTATAACAAAAGCGTCTTATAAATACAAAGTTGCTGCAGCCAGAGAAAAGCTAACATTCAAAAGTCAGGGTCAAGAACCCAACAAAAGATAAACACTAATCACCATTGTGGTGTAGTGTTATATGCATTTATGATGTAATTGCATATTGACTCCACCTTGGGGTTGACTGCAGGGGGTTACCGGGTCAGACGAGTTAGACTGTTGCATCAGCAGGAGCTGCTTGTGTTCTTTTTTTTTTTTTTTTTTAAAGTGAAGTGACGTGGAATTAGTGCTCTGCATTTAACCCATCCAAAGTGTCGCACACACACACACACACACAAACCGAGAACAGCCATTTATGCTGTGGCGCCCGGGGAGCAGTTGGGGGTTCGGTGCCTTGCTCAAGGGCACCTCAGTCATGGTATTGAAGGTGGTAGAGAGCACTGTACATTCAATCTCCCCACCTACAATCCCTGCCAGCACGAGACTCAAACCCACAGCCTTTGGGTTATGAGTCCGACTCTCTAACCATTAGGCCACGACTCCCCCCCCATTCTGTAAGAAACATGTGGTTGTGAGTTATAACTCTCCGTGTACGTAGTCTATTGGATACACTGCACTAGAAGAAACACTACATGGTTTCAGAAGAGAGTCGTTTCACAAACTCTAGTCTGCTTTTGACAGCGCTGAGACTTGATGAAGAAAGTGAGCGCATCCTGACTGAAGTGAGTCTACCATAGTAAAAAATAAATAAATAAACATGGATCAATTCAGATTACCACCTCCATTAGTCCTGTCGGGGAATACAGGTAAAAATTGGAGAAGGTGGATACAGTGGTTCAACATTTATATGACTGCTACAGGTTCAGATTCAAAAAGTGAAAAAGTAAAAATCGGCATTCTCCTTCATGCTTTAGGAGAGGAGGCCTTAGAAGTATACAATTCACTGTCTATTGAGCCAGATGGGGAGAATGAAACAATGCAATACATAGTAACTGCATTGGAGAAGTATTGCTTACAGAGAAAGAATGTTGTTTTCGAAAGGCACTAGTTCTGGGCCTACCCCATGCCTGATTCGATAACCATCGATAAGTATGTCAAAGAACTAAAACAAAAGAGTAAGCACTGTGAATTTGGCTCAACGGAATCTGACAAGAGACAAGATTGTGTTCAGTATCAGTGATCAGCGTTTAAAGGAGAGGCTCTTAAGAGAAACAAACCTGACCCTTGAAAAAACAGTGGACATTTGTAGAGCAGCCGAGTCAGCAAAAACACAGATTCAAGCAATGGGGGAGCAGAGTAAAACTGTTCATGCCATCATTAAAAAGAAGACAAAAATGCAAAACAGAACAAGATATATGAAAGAACATCATCTCAACAGCACAAAGCAGATTCATTCGTCTGCAAAAAGTGTGGAAAATCTCACCTTCCACGACAGTGTCCAGCCTTTGGGCCAACATGTCATGCCTGTGGAAAACGTAATCACTTTGCCTCAGTCTGCATGTCTGAACAAAACGACACAAAGCCTAAACACAATAGAAATGTCACTGTTGATTCATTATTCATCGGGTCAGTCAACTAAAAGAGACCCGTAGCTCTGTACAGAAAGCATGGTACACAGATGTAGGTATTGGAAATGTGACAGTAAAGTTCAAATTGGATTCTGGAGCTGAAGCCAATATTATACCTCTCGAAATGGGGGAGCAGAGTAAAACTGTTCACGTCATTAAAAAGAAGGCACAAGATGCAAGACAGAGCAAGAGATATGAAAGAACATCATCTCAACAGCACAAAGCAGATTCATTCATCTGCAAAAAGTGTGGAAAATCTCACCTTCCACGACAGTGTCCAGCCTTTGGCGCAACATGTCACGCCTGTGGAAAACGTAATCACTTTGCCTCAGTGTGCATGTCTCAACAAAAAGACACAAAGACTAAACACAATAGAAATGTCACTGTTGATTCATTATTCATCGGGTCAGTTGAACTAAAAGAGACCCGCGGCTCTGTACAGAACGCATGGCACACAGATGTAGACATTGGAAATGTGACAGTGAAGTTCAAATTGGACTCTGGAGCAGAAGCCAATATTATACCTCTTGACATTTATCAATCTCTGCACGAAACAGCGTTGTTGCAACCGACTTCGACTATGCTGGTGGCGTATGGTGGAACTAAATAAAGCCAGAAGGTGTGGCCAACCTTCAGTGTGTCACACCCCAAGTGCAAGTTTGCTTACCCTTTTACATCACCAGACACTCGTCCATTCCAATACTTGGTAAGGAAGCATGTGAACGGATGCAAGTGCTGAAAAGAGTTGAGACTGTTGTAATCAAGCATTCTACCTCCAAAGAGGAGCTGATAGCACAACATCCAACAGTTTTTGAAGGGCTCGGTCAGTTTCCAGGTGAACATCATATTCATGTCGATCCAAAAGCAATCCCGGTCATACAGGGCTGCAGAAAAATTCCCTTAGCAGTGCTGGGCAAACTGAAGGACACACTGGATCAGCTGTTGCAAGCAGACGTTATAACGCCAGTCACTCAGCCCACTCCTTGGGTCAACAGCCTTGTTGTCACTGGAAAAAAGAATGGGTCATTACGAGTATGCTTGGATCCTGTAAACGGATGCAACTGCTGAAAAGAGTTGAGACTGTTATGGCAATGGACAGCGGTGGAACAAGATGGCGCCACAAATGGCAGCTAGGATGCTGAGCTCCGCGATTCTTCTGATGTTTTTGTTTGTTTGTTCTGTGTTTTGTCATTCTTCTTCTGTAAGTTTTACCAGAGACAAACTCCTTAACATTAAGCAGCACATCCCAGACAATATTTTTCCAGTTTTTGATTATTCGGATGTTTTGTTGAACATTCTA